ATAAGGATTGAGAGCATAGGCTTTCGTGGTTAAGACCCTTGCATCTGAAGAAGTGAGGTTCTTACCCACGAAAGCTTATGCTCCCAATATTTCTATTAGTCTTAAAGGTGCCACGGGACCCTCTGTTAATTAAGGCTTTATTACAGTTTTAAGCAATCAAGTTAAAATGGGGGCAGGATAAAAATTGTGAAAGATGACCTGACCCTATATAGTTTTTTGGAGTTTGCCTTATGTATCTCTATTTTTAAGTGATTCCCCTCTCCCCCCCTTAAGGGAACAACGGAGAGTGGGAGTTGTTTTAAAAATTAAACTCTGCGCAGCAGCTTTCCAAGATTACCACCTCTCCAAGAAAAACAAGCTTTGCAGACTTGCTAGAAATCAGTAATTGTAAAAGTGACAGGTTTCCTGCCCGCAGACAAAAACAAAATTGAAGGTGTGGGCAGCCAACATTTCCTTCATGACCTGCTGCCAAGCAAATAATAATACTTAACAACAATAAAAGTCAAGACAGATTCTCACAAGCTAGGGAACTGCCCTTGGCAGCTTGGAATGATGTAATTCACACCAATTAGTGGCAACAGAACGCATGGGCTCTGTACAGTCATAACCCTTCACAAAAGTTAGGGAGGTGTGTAACAAGTTTCCCAAGAATTTTCCACAATATGCTCTGATCCTTGGAGGATTTTTTGTGTGTCTGTGTTTTCTGACATAAAATAACAAGTTGAAATAGTGTGACACTGGGGATAGGAAAACTACAATATATAGGATTAAAAAAAAAACCTTTGAAAGCAAAACCACATTATCATTGGGACCTTCTTAATGTTCTCCTGCTCCAATCTTTGGCATCTGAGCGGTATTCATAAATGAGGGGTGGGGGGAATAACTGGGTGGCTCAAGGGAATGGGATAATGGAGACTCACTCTAGTTACCTGGTTTGCATATGGCCCAGGTTGGTATTAAATGACCAAATATGGTTGCTGTTCGATGCTGTTCCATGGCCTACTGTATAATAAATGAGTGAGTGGTCTCTGTCTAGTTCCTAGTATACAGATGTTTGCATAACAATGGGCACAAGCTTTCAGCCTAGATGTCAATCTTTGCAGAGAAGGGAAGGGTTGAATAGACATGGTGACTGAAGTCCTACTCTTGCCCCTAGAGGTTGTCTCTGTAGCTCAGGGTTGAGAGACACACAAGTGGTTTGGGGAAGCTTGCGTTGCTGATACCAGTACTGTGACTCCTCTGTAAACAGACTGAGAAAGCAGACTGCAAAGAAGTCAACTTGGCAGCTTCTATGAAAAATAAATTAAATAGAGGCAAAAATATACTAACTTTTCAGTGTAATGCTGACTTGATTCACTAACATGGAATCTCATCAGTAGCATTTTAAATTAGTTGAACCTGCTGACAAAAAAGTTTCCCTCTCCTCTTAATAACCCTTCTCTAAAAAACCTGCAGAGATGCCTAGTTATTTGTGTCTAGTTTCTATAGTGCATTTGCTTCTGAAAGCCAAGAAAAACATTACATACATGTTCAAAGGCCTGGGAAAGGTAAAATTTGCTTTAGTCCTGATAGCCTGGAAAACATTATGAAGAGTTTTATAGCTGAGGATCCTTCTAGGAAGCCATACTTTTGAAAGTTCACTTGAAGAATTTTATTGCGGGCACTTTCTTTACTTTGCACTAGCAGTAAGTGTGTCAGTTGAGAGGCGGCTGCCAAGGAGATTTTTGCCTTTTCTGAAAACAGTGGTGTTTGAGAAGCCAATGTGCTTGCATCTATTGCTGGAGCTTCCACATGTGCCTTTCATATGTTGAAATCTGTGAGAATTCAAGCATCTGCTACTCCCTTTTAATGCTTTGACTAAGGAATTAAATACACCCTGTTAATTACACTTTCTGATAACTTACATCTTCTCTAGAAACACAAGACATTAAAAGTAGGATAAGCAGTGAAGCCCTGTGTAGCATCCCCTCCAGAATAGCCTTGTACAGATCACATTGTTTGCAAGATTTCTCTGACTGGTGGCTTTCTGACTGAGTTCAATGTCAAGGTGCTGATCTCATTTTATTCTTGAGTGACCTGCTGTTATTCGTTATGGCTCATAATTTTTGCCTTGCCTTGGTCTGAGATATCAAGTGTGGGTATAACTGGGGTTGTGCTCTTGGGGCTTGCAACGGGGTTCATAATACAAAGGGGGAGGAAGCAAAAGGGAAAGAGTTCCCCCATACTATGAGGTTACTATGGACTGATCTTAACCAAACGTCATTTTTGTGATTGGACTGAAGAAGTGGAGCTAGGTCTATGAAGCAACAAACTCTCCCTTAAAGCAGTATCCCTGCCTGGCTGTCTTCCACCAGCATTGCCATTCTTTTCATGAGCCAAAAGAACAAGAGGTATATACAGACTTCTGGCCACTGAAGAGTTAACTGTCTCCATGGAAACTGATGGCAGTGTACTAGTGCAGTGTTTAGACAGACTAAACTACATGCCGGGTTATAAAACACGTTGTGGGGAAGAAAGGGACTTGGCAGCAAGTTTTTATCGGCTCTTGAAACTCCTGACAAAATACCAGCTCCAAAGGGAGGAATCAGTGCAGTAAGGACTGGGAATCAAGACAGGGCTGGAAGAACAGAGCTGTTAAAACAACTCCTACAAGAATGCAAGATATTAACTAGCTAGGTAACAAACACTTGCCAGGTTGTCACCTTCCAAAAACATGCCAGCACAGTGTGGCTTCTGAAGGCGCAGAAAGCTTCTGCTTTGGAAATGTAATGCAAGTGCCTGTTGTTGGAATTCAGTGGGTAGGTGTAGCAGGGTGCTGGTGCAAAAGCACCTAATTAGCCCCTGCCCAGTCAGCTCCAATCAGGGGAAACAGATTGGGGCTGATGGAAAAGGCCTAATGCTGGCTTGAGGATTGGCAACACCTGCTGGCCTGACAAGCCAAGGGCTATAAAGGCTGGGAGGGAGCCAAAAGGTGAGGGACAGCCAGAGAGAAGTCAGTTAGTGAGGGAGGGAACTGGAGGCTGACTCTGCCCATAAAAGAGGTTGATTAATCCTGTAAAGCTTCTAAATAGATAGACACTGGTGGTGAGATAACTGTAGGTAAATAAAGACACGGGCGTTGCACAACCCTGAAGCCTTTCTGAGCCTTATTGGGACAGCAAGCGGGCCCCTGGAAGAGGGGTGGGTTGTGAACCCTGTTACACATGGGGGCTTGTCCAGGATCCTTTGCCAGAGACACAGTTTGGTGACCTGGAAATGGAGGGCATTCTGCAGTGGCTCAGAACAACATGAGAAGGAGATGCAGAAGATGCTGCAGGCCTTTCAGCAGTCCCACCAGCTGGAGAGGCAAGCTTTACTGGCATGGCAGGCTGAGCAACAACAGACTTTGCAGGACTTTATCAAGGAACAGGCAGCGGTGCAGCAGCTGCTCCTGCAAAA